GCTGCGACTGGAGTTCAGCATTTGTGTGATTAAGTAATAATAAAAAGAGGAACATCTGTTCTAAAATAGGATGAAAAATTATGTCCTACAACCCAACGGAACAGATTTGGACACAGACATGGAATTTATTAATGAACATGATATATAGTAATTTTATATTTTAAATTAATTAACCTGGCTTGATTTGCTCTTGGGCCCATTTATCTATCTTTTTGGCTGTTCATGGCACCCATAAAATTCTCCTCCAGCACTACATTACAAATGAGTTGACGCTCAATCTGCTTTCTTCCCTGCCCAGCTTTCATAATCGTACACAGTATTAATCAGAGAAACTATGGCATCAATTATGCTCACTTTGGTATTGAATGATGTATCTCTGCGCTTGAAATTTTGCTCTCACCTCTTAATATCTGAGAGATGCATTTGTGTGTGTATCCGTCTAATATTTATCTCTTTCTCACCTTTGAATCTCTTTGTACATGTGAATGTTTGTGGCTCAAGCAAAAGAGGGAGGCAGACCAATCCTTTCAGCATTTAGAGCAGTGTTTCTCAACCTGAGGGACATTACCCCTGGAGGGGTTGTGAGGGGGTGTAAAGGGGTCACCAAATACTATCAGAAAACACATCATTGCTGGGGTTTAGAATGCTATTTGATTGTAGGTCAACTATAAATCCCAGCAACTACAACTCCCAAATGTCAAGGTCGATTTTCCCCAAACTCCACCAATTCTCACATTTGGGCATATTGAGTCTCTGTGCCAAATTTGGTCCACATCCACCATTGAGTCCACAGTGCTCTCTGGATGCAGTTGAACTACAACTCCAAAACTCAAGGTCAATCCCCACCAAATCGTTCCAGTATTTTCTGTTGGTCATTGGAGTTCTGTGTGCCAAGTTTGGTTCAATTCTATTGTTGGTGGAGTTCAGAATGCTCTTTGATTGCAGGTTAACTATAAATCTCAGCAATTACAACTCCCAAATGACAAAATCAATCCCCCCCCCCAACCCCACCAGTAATCAAATTTGGGCATATTGGATATTTGTGCCAAATTTGGCCCAGTGAATGAAAATACATCCTGCATGTCAGGTATTTACCTAACGATTCATAACAGTAGCAAAATTACAGTTATGAAGTAGCAATGAAAATAATGTTATGGTTGGGGGTCACCACAACACGAGGAACTGTATTAAGGGGTCACAGCATTGGGAAGGTTGAGAAACACTGGCATAGAGGAATCATCTGCATGTGTGTTTTCCTAGTAGAATTTGTGATTAGGTCATTAATTTAACTTTCGGGGATTTCAATTGATAAGTATGGACTACCCAGTTAAGAGATTTTGGATGCACTTGCACAATCCTTTTGTAACTGTTATGGGCCTTCAAGTTGTTTCCATCTTATGGGACTCTGAGGTGACTGTTTTTACAGGTTTTCTGGGGCTGAGAGTGTATGACTTGTTCAAGGCTTCCAAGTGGGTTTCCATGACTGAGTGGGAAACTGAACACCGGTCTCCATAGTCATAATTCAATGCTCAAATCTCTCTGCCATAGTTTTTGTGTGGTGGGGAGGAGTGAGCGCTGTGAAGCACAAGGCTGGATTCTTTCCTCTCTTCCTTTGGTGTCCAGGAGGGTTCGGCGCTTGCTTTTAATTTCGCTAAACTGTGTAACTAAGAGGCCAAGATAAGCTTTCACTTTTGTTGAACTGTGGTTGGTGGTGTAGTCTGGTTAACACTAAGCCTTTGGAGCATGGAAATAAAGAGTGAAAGCTGCCTTTTTGAAATTAAGCAGAGTTGGTGTTAACCACAGTTTCTAATTTGGATGATACAGGAAATGGTGGTCAACTCGAAGGGAAAGGGAAAGCAAAAACCTCCAGATTCCTCCTTCTCAGTCACAGGGATAAGGGAGCATGTCTCCCTTCAGTGGATACGTGCCACAGTAAATGGAGATTTAGTGCAGTGTGTAAATGCAACTTTTGTCCAGGTTTTTAGAAAGAACCTCCAGGTGCCTCTTTAACTATATGTTGCCTAATTATATGTGTGAGTGTATTTGAATCCTTAGCATCAAATGGCATATTCAGAATCCAAATACTGAGTAGTTTTTCCAGTGCTGTGCCTTTCTGAATCTTTGCATTTTGAGAGACAGAGCTTTGCTTTCTGTGTAGGGCTGGTGGTTGTGAGAGAGAGGTGTGTGCAGGTATATAAGTGTGATACTGGTGTCTGAGTAAAGGTCTTCACACATTATGACAAGCAGAGAAATCCATGTTTATATATGTTTATACAGTCATAGGGAGATAAGCAGTGTTTCAATGTCTGACCTGTTCCTCCTTTTGACTGTCACATGTTTGACTGTGCACGCATTCATGTATCCTACCAACGTATGGTGAGCCCTTGGATTTCATAGGGTTTGCTTAGATAAGGAATACTGAGAGCCACCCCCTCCCCAGTTTTTCTGAAATATCTCCTGCAGTACCTGATATTCATGAATGGTCTCCCACCCAAGGATTAACCAGGGTCAGGCCCGTAGCCAGGATTTTGATTCGGGGGGGGGGGGGGGGGGGGCCCAGGGTCTACCCTAGCAAACCTTTTGTATCGTTACCCCAACACCCCCATGCATATGGGATATATTGAGCATGGTGATCAGATCATGATATGAATAACATAACAGTTTAAATAATGTACCAGTAAGGCCTTCTCGCGGACCACCCTGAGAATTGGGGGGGGGGGGCTGAAGCCCCTCAACCCCCCCCCCCCCCCCAGTTATGGGCCTGACCAGGGTTGACACTGTTTTAGCTTCCAAGATCAGACATCATAACTGTAGGAAAATTCGATCCTTTTAATAAGCAGTGCCTTGTGTATAGTATTGGACTGGCACTTTTATTACAACTATCATCAATTAAATAAAATAGGCTCTGAGTAAATTTACTCATTTGGTGAGACTTGGACTTAACGGCCAAAACGCTGGGGGGCCAAAGAAAGGAAGCTAAGCTCCAGATTTCTGATGTGAACAAAAGCCTTTTAAGTATAATTAGGAAACACCCCAGGAGAGGAAATGTAAAAAAAAGCCAATCTGCTAGGCAAGTTTCAAGCCTAATTGAATGAGAGGGAGTAGGATTGGGCCACAGCAGGGTTGGTGTAAGGCCTGTGGATTCTTTTTAATGCATTTAGGGTCTGTGTTGTTGTCCCAAAGGGTCAAGGCTTTCACTGCATTTAATATCCCCATTATTTCTAACTGAGAAGCAAGTCAGTTTCTTCTGCATGTCTTATGACTTTATCACACTAGAGAAAAATCCACTTAAAATCCAGTTTCTGCCTCCTGCAGAATTCTGGGGTTTGTAGTTTAGGGAGGAGCCTTTAACAGCCTCACTAAACTACAAGCCCCAAAATTCTGCAGGAGGCAGCAATTGGATTTTAAGTGGATTTTTCCCTCTAGTGTGATGAAGTGCTTTTAGACTTCAAGGATCTGTCAATAAACTGAGTACAAGAGTCTGTTAGTTTTGTCTTTGTCAAATGGTTTCTGTGCCCTGAGACCAGTGACAGCTATGGCTCTGGAATTACTTGGCTATCCAGCGCCTGCTTAAAAATCTCCAGAGAAGGAGACTCTCCCATGATCACAGGCAGCAGATTCTCCTGTTGAACAACTCTTATCATCAGGAAGCTCTTCCTAATCTTTAGACAGAATCTCTTTTCCTGCCATTTGAATCTATTACTCCATTGTATCCATCCTCTAGATCAGAGCTTTCCAAACATTTCATGTACGTGACATACTTTTTAGACATGCATCACATCTAATTCAGTTTTACTAGCAAACTAGAGATTTGCTAGTAAAACCAACCACTTATAAGAGATATGGACACATACATAAACTGTAATAACAAAATGTAAGGGGATACAAAAGGAAGAGGGGCCGACCAAGGGCAAGATGGATGGATGGCATCCTTGAAGTGACTGGACTGACCTTGAGGGAGCTGAGGGTGGTAACAGCCGACAGGGAGCTCTGGCGTGGGCTGGTCCATGAGGTCACGAAGAGTCGGAGACGACTGAACGAATGAACAACAACAAGGGGATACAACATACTTCATTAAAACCTTTCATTCATATTTATTACTTATTTCACATAGACTCAGAAGTTTCTTATTAGATTCCTGTGACTCACCTACAAACTGCTGCCCACACAGGAACGTGTTGCGAAACACAGTTTGAAAAGCTCGGCTCTAGAGCAACAAAGAACAAGTTTGTCCCCTCCTCAGTGTGACATCCTTTCAGATACCATATTTGAACATAGCTCTCATGTCCCCTTTCAGCCTTCCTTTCTCCAGGCTAAACAGACCCAGCGCTCCCTGAGCCGTTTCTCATAGGACTTGGCCTCCAGACCTTGAACCATTTTGGTTGTCCTTCTCAGGACACCTTCTGTCTTGTCCATATCTTTCTTGAATTGTGATGTCCAGAACTGGACACAGTATTCCAGGAGAAGGCCGATCAATGTCTCTGGCTTCAAGGAACACAATTCCATGCAAGTGTTGCAAGAGAAAGGCATGTCAAACCAATCCTGACCGGAACCGCCTTCCATCTGGAAACCAATGTCATCACTTTGGATCAAGAATAGGTCTCCACAGCTACCTACGGACCCACCACCAAGACACTAGACTTGGAGGACCATCATCCTTGGGCTACAAGGGATCGCATAACACACACAAAGCAAAGTGGCAGGAAATGTTGGAGGACAGGTCTGACATCTTCAACCCATAAGATGTTCATGTGCTTAACCTGCAGTGAAGGGACCTCGGGTAGCTCATGGGCTCACCTGGTAGAGGCCAACATTGTCCACAACACAATACATGCCAGGTCTATCAGGTTTGAGGATGCTCCATGTGTTCGTGTAGTTAGTCCCTCTTCAAAATGGCACAGGTGCCTTTAATAATAGAATTACAGCATGGCCAACAGATGTAATGAACTGGAATTTGCGCTTCAAGTCATCGAACTAATTGCCTTTTTTTTCCTCCCCAGAATTCATTTGATGCTGCCCGCTCCATCTAGAGGAGAGTTCAATTGGCAACTCTCTGCTGAAGATAGAGGCACATGTATATGACGTCCTAAGATTCCTTTATCCGGTTTATGTGATTTACTGAAGAGTCCGGTTTTTCGTTTCCCCATGAATTACCTTCCAGTTCTGGAAAGGTAGAGGTAAGCCGCCATTCTCAAGTTATTTCTTTTCCTTCTCTTTTCCTTGATGTGATTTTTATATCTATATATGTATAAAACCCCATAAGAATTGCTTGACCCTGTCAGAGATTTTGTGTGCGAAGGGATCTGTTCATGTGGAACAAATTGCTAGAACTGCCCAAAGCAGGAATTCTCTATTCTCTCTCTCTCTTTCTCCTCTGCTCTATATTCTGTGGGTTTGTTTTCAGTGTATTACTGACTGCAGGACTGAGTTGTGTTATGTTCGCTAATGCCAGGCTTGTCTTCAAAGCACATCATAGCAAAAGATGCAGCCAGACTGAATGAGCGTGGGAAGCTGGACGGCCTCCTGGCCCCGGCTTCGGTGCAGGTTGCCACCTGGCATTGGCTCCGTTGCCGCGATTAAGGCCATCATGATGGTGTAACCAGAGACTGACCTGGTGGAAAGGGAGCATTTCACAGTGGGGGAACCCACCTTTTCTTTTTGCCATGTTGGAAGCTAATCTTCTGTATCAGCTACTGAGAAACCTGGCTTAGTCCGCCTGCAGCTCCAGTGGGAGCGTGGGTGGAGTATAGTGTGCTTCAATCCATGTGTGATGATAACCTCTCGATATGTGTATGTTTGCCTCCCCACCCACCCACGACTGGAAGCACCATTGCAAATTCCTGGCTGGCTAGTGAAATTGCCTGGAAACTTGATGATATCTACATACTCTCTGGAATAACAAAGCATTTTTTAAAAGGTTGATTTGAACGTGTTCAAATTCTTGAATTAATCTGTCATAGAATACTCATATCAACTATGAATCTTCGCTGCAGCATGAAAACTGTTTTCCTCTCATTGCATCTTTCCCGTTCTTCCTGGACTGTGAGGGTTATTGAGAGTGGTGAATGTGGTAGTTTTGTAGAATTACAAAAATAACAACTACTGAGAACCAGTTAACATTTTGCTTTGTAGGTATTGAGTGGAGATAGTAGCTCCTCCACTTTCTCCCCTGTTTGTTGTTTATAAAGCCCTAAACTGTTTGGGACGCACCTACCTTCGTGACCGTATCTCTCTCCATGAACCAACCCAGGCCCTTCGATCCTTGGGGAGGCCCTCCTTTCGCCCCTGCCAGTCTCACAAGCCCGTTTTGTGGGCACAAGGGAGAGAGTCTTCTCCTCTGTGGCTCCCTGACTCTGGAACTCATTACCTGGAGAGATTCCTGAGAACTTTAAGCTGTGTTTGGAAGCAGTGATGAGTTGGCTACGAGCAAGCAGACTAAAAGTCAATCCTGCAAAAACTGAGATACTCTGGCCCGGCCAGCCGCCAGAATTAACCCAGTCTCTGCCTGATTTCGATGGGGAAGCTCTGGTTCCGTCTGCCACTGTTAAAAGCCTTGGGGTTGTGTTGGATTCATCGCTGACGATGGAGGCCCAGATCACTGCCATAAGTAAGCAGGCCTTTTTTCATCTTCGACAGGCAAGGAAATTGGTATCCTACCTTTTGGTAGAAGCATTGGCAACAGTAATCCACGCAACAGTCACCACGAGGTTGGACTATTGCAATGCCTTATATGCTGGCCTTCCGAAGTCAACGACCCAGAAGATTCGGATGGTCCAAAATGCGGCAGCCAGGCTGCTAGCGGGATCATCTATAAGATCCCATATTACACCGATTCTGCAACAACTGCATTGGCTACCAATAGAACATCGGATCTCTTACAAGATACTGATCCTGACATTTAGAGCTCAAAATGGCCAAGGACCTTTACATCTTAGGGACCGCCTCATTCCTTTTCCCCATCAGTGGTCACCTCGATCCACCCAGGAAAATCTCCTCTACATACCGGGTCCTAGGGAGGCACATTTGGAAGCTACAAGGCGTAGAGCTTTTTCGATCTATGCTCCAATTCTGTGGAACTCATTGCCTCCATATGTTAGAGCAATGTCGGAGTTGCGACCTTTTGCAAAGGAGCTCAAGACTTGGCTGTTTGGTTGTGCATTTAAGTAACCGGATCAAATTTTGCCATAGTCACTGCTGAATGTTTTTATGTTGAATGTTTTATATTGTGTATAAGCTATTTTAAATTGTAAGTCGCTCGGAGCACTTTGGTGGAGAGCGACTAATTAAGAAATAAAGTGATGATGATGATGATGATGATGATGATGATCAATTACCTGGGGAGATCAGGAAAGCCCCTACACTAGAAACATTTAAAAAGAACCTTAAAACCTGGCTCTTCCGCTGCGCCTTTCGGGAGTAGGTGCACAACATGATACTATTGCTCCCCTCAACGTTTCTGTCACTGGAGTACACGCCCTCCAACTGGGAAGTTTAGTTTCACAACCCTGTGTATCTTTATAATCTCCCTGCAAATAACTTGCTCCTATTTTTATCTCATTAGATTTTTAACATTTTATCCTGTACATGTGGCCCGTCCATTGTCTCTGCGTTTGTGTTTATTGTAATATTATTTTGTTACTGTATTCATATCGTTTTTTAATGTAATTTTGATGCTGTTGCTTGTTGCTTATGTTTTGGTTTTATTTTTGCTGTAATATGTTATCCGGGCTTGGCCCCATGTAAGCTGCTCCGAGCCCCCGTTGGGGAGTTGGTGGTGGGGTATAAATAAAGTTTATATTATTATTATTATTATTATTATTATTATTATTATTATTATTACTACTACTACTACTACTGCTACACTTACTTACTTACTTAGGCGATCCCTCATTGTCCGAGTAAGATTGTCCTTCAAGTGTGGTGTCCTGGGGTGGGTCCATAGGTGACTGTGGAGCCCTATTCTTGACCCACATCTTCTCCCGCAGTGAAGGTATTGGTTTACAGGTGGAAGGCGGTCCCGGTCGGGATTGGCTTGATGCGCCCTCCTATTGGCATGTTTCTCCCTCTCATCCTCCCTCCATTTGTGCCTCTTCAAATTCTACAGCACTGCTGGTCACAGCTGACCTCCAGTTAGAGCGCCCAAGGGCCAGGACTTCCCAGTTCTCAGTGTCTATGCCACAGCTTGTAAGGTTGACTTTAAGCCCATCTTGAAATCTCTTTTCCTGTCCACGAATGTTACGTTTCCCATTCTTGAGTTGGGAGTATAGTAACTGCTTTGGGAGGCGGTGATCTTTGGGTATTTAATAAACTTTCTAAAACGTTGAACAAAAGATCTTCCCTAACTATAGTCAACATAAAAAGAGATACTCAGCTGGAGGGGAAGGGATTATATATAACTGGCCAGTGAAGAAAACAAGTGGGGCAATGATATCTGCACAGGAACATTTAGCAGAAATTCAGTCTGCCCTGGGGCACACATTGGACCTAAATAACTTTAATTAAATGCAATTTAAGCCATTAAACAACCACTGAAAACAGAAGATTAAAATCAACAAAACAGTGTTTTGTTAAAAGGCAATTCCAGGCAATTCCTTAGGATTGCAATAAGTCAAAACCAACTTCATGGTGCATAGCAACTGCATCAAAAGCCTGTTGATCTGGAATAATTTTTTTTCCCCAAAGCCCATTGTATTCCAAGATTTTATTCTGTTCTGTGTTTCAGTTTTGTTTTGTATTGGCTTTGTTGTGTCCTGTAAAAAAATCCCTTTTGAATTGCTCCAAGATCATTATAACTCATTGATTTATTTTTTATTTCTTTATATGATTAATATCCTTGCACAGGACACATGAATTCTTACATCTAATTAAAATAAGATGTAGCTGCAAAACAATTGATATAAAAGTTAATTAACCCCCAATTAAGTGAACAATTATATGTAAAATGTAAAGCTAAAACAGCTGAAAACACATATAAAATATAACAGAAAAGTTGGCGTCTCATTAAAATCCAAAGGTCTTTGCTTGCTGGAAAAAATATAAATGGGGCAGCTGAATGGTGCATTATGAAAAGTGGAAAACAACTCTAAATAAATTAATCAGGTACTAAGTAGAATTAAAATTCAGGCCTTGACTTTTGTGTTGTGGATCACGTTGCTGTCCTTCCTGCACCTCTTAAAAAAGAAATTTCGTAAGAGTGTGCCAGGAGATACTGTAGGATATCTGATTATTTTTACAGTTTTTGAGGTTTTTAATGGACTGGTTGTTTATTTTAATATTTCCATTCAGTCCTTTAATATTAAGTATTTGGATTTTAAATTGCAATATTTTTTAATGTTGTGAGCCACTTTGCTTCTCAGCCAGAAATATAAGCAGGATACAAATAATAATTATTAGCATTATTGTTATTATTATTATTATTATTATTATTATTATTATTATTATTATTATTTGAAACACAACAAGATGAGTCCACAGCAGACACTCTGCTGGCTGTTGAATTGGATCACACGTCGGACACTTCCCAAGTGTCTAGGACTGTGTGATGTATCGGCGAATAATGCGTGCAGATCCCAGTAGGGTGGCCTTCTGCAGCTGGCAGATAGTAATCTTGTCAGCACCAGTTGTGTTTAAGTGCCCAAGGTCTTTAGGCACTGCACCCAGTGTGCCCATCACCACTGGGACCACCTTTACTGGCTTGTGCCAGAGTCTTTGCAGTTCGATCTTTAAATCCTCATATTTTGTCAGCTTTTCCAGTTGTTTCTCTTCAATCTGGCTGTCACCTGGGATTGCAACATTGACAATCTATAATTGTATTGTTGTTTTTGTTGTTATTATTATTATTATTATTCTCTGTGAGATTGTTACTGTTTTCTGAATCCTTATTAGAAAGGTTTACTCTCACTTCGTGTTCCTGAAACAACAGGAAGTGAGGTGAAATCTACCCCTCGGAAGGGAAATTTGCTTCTGTAAGAATTGTCATGGGAAAAAGGTGGCTCCGCTGAAGCTTTGTCACCAATCCAGATTTCCAAAATTTTCAAAATTCAGTTGCCATAGGGACAGAAAACGAGGTGAAATTGTCTGAATAGGGGTAATATTTTTATACAAAAATATTGACTTGTCTATTAAAGTAATAATTGTGCTTTGGGTGTTAACCTTGCCCTATGCTGTCCAAAACTGA